GTTGATAGAAATATTTTACTTGTAAGTCAATTACTGAATGATGATGGTCAATTATTTTCCTATAAGGAATTTTTGTTTGTTTATGATTTTCCTGTCACTCCAAGAGAATACGCTGTAGTTTTTGATGCAATACCAGATGGAGTGAGAAGGTTATTGGTGTCTGCTCCTAAGGGTAGAAATTGTATTATTCCAGAACTAAATCCCGGTAGCATATTCATCGGTAACATATGTCCTTTATTGAGTGATAAAGCCACAAATCAATGTATTAGACAAATCATTCAAAGAGCTATTGTTTCCAAACCTGCAGCTGTATTTTACTGGAACAATATTTACAATTATATAGACTGGAAAAACACTTGGATTTTACCAAGAAAATTTATTATAACTAATAAGATAAGAGAGGTTTCTTTTAAGTTGATCCACAGATGTTATCCGGTAAAGACATATCTGGTTAAACGTAAGAAAAATATTGATACTCTTTGTACTTTTTGCGGCAATGCAGAGGAAACAATATGTCATTTATTTTGGGATTGCACTTATACACATGTATTTTGGATTGATCTAAATAATTTTATAAACACCAAAATTGATCCCTCTTGTAAACTGAAGTTTCACCATATTCTATTTGGCCTCTCACATACTGATAAAATTATTTCAGGAAAAATATATATTATTAATCTTCTGATCATTTTTGCCAAATTTCACATACATTGTACAAAATTCTCTCAACAGCGTCCAAACATATTTGCTTTTACAGCCCTGTTTTCCAATTATCTGAAGAATCTTAATAACAGTACTAACTCCAAAGCGTGTAAAACACTAGAGCTGTGCCGAATGTATAATTTCACTTGATTTACTTGTTTATTTGTACCTTGAGCATTTTATTTTGTTTATTTATTTATTTTTAATTTTTTTCCCAGTTATTTTGTTAATCTGTTTTCTCCTAAAATATACCTTTTTGTTTAAGTATACTTGTAGTTGTATACATAACTTGTTCAACTTGTTATTACAAGATGTGGAATGTTTATACCCTTTCTATATTCTACAATACCATGTATGTTTGTTATTCAAATGTCTAAATAAAAAAAAAAAAAAAAAAAAAACAAGCCACTGGCTGAAGCCATTTTTCTGTCCCTCCCTGCTGTGAGGAGGGGCGCACACACACACACACACACACACACACACACACACACACGCACAAGCACACACAAGCGTCTTAAATAAGACACAGCAAATCAGCGTAATATTACTGCAATGGTATGTCTATAAACGCGCCATGCCGGCATGGCGTTGCGCAAATTTTGCGGCATTCGTTCCACCTCGCTTGGTAGTAATATTGCGGTAATGGTCTGTCGTATGCGCCAAGGCGCAGCAAAGGCAGATGTCATGATGACGTGGGGAGTTATTGCTGAGGTCCGGCTGGCAAATCTATTGAAAATGAAAGTAAATACAGGCAATAAGGTTTGCCTTTTTAACAAAATCAGCTGAGATGGCAAACTGGAGCGCCGCAGCGCTCCATGAGCCTCTCTGTTAGAGCTGAAGCTCAGATCACCAGAGACTGCACAGGGACTGATGGGGACAGACACCTTTAGGAGCTGCTTGTTAAAAAAAAACTTAACGATCACGACTTCAATTGCAATAAAAAGCAAATTATGTCAAAGATAATCGAAAGTCTGCGAGACCGCCCCATAGCCCCTTTATGCCACCATTACCTAATCTTTTATAAAATTGCCACAATTGCGCCACATTACCACCACGGTCAGATCTTATAAACGACCTTTATCCTCCCCAGGGAGCTGCGGCAAATCCCGTTTTGCAAACGCTGTGAACCTGTAAAAACAGCTATAGTAAAGCCAGACAGAGCAAAGCAAGATACAGTATCAGAGTCAGAGTCTCCAAAAGCAAGACTGCTCAGGCCCTTTTGTTTAATAATGGAGACCCTGCAGACTTCTCCGCGCTCTTTTGCTCCACCCACGTGCCTGGAAATGCACTCATGACATCACAGACCACAGATCACCCATGTGCTGCATTCCTAAGGCAAGGTGGAACGAATGCGGCCAGGCTGGGGCAAGCGAAGCGGAGTGGAGTGGAGTGGAGCCGATAATAGTCTGTAAGTGGCAATAGTTCAAGATGATAAAACCTCTAGCCTGGCAAGCTATCCTACATATGTGAATATAGTAAAGTAAGTAGGTAAAGTTTATTTATATAGGACTTAAATCACAAAAAGCTTCACACAGATCAACAAATTAAATAATAAAAAGTCTTAAAAGAGCATAAAAACAAAACAACTAAATACTAAACAAATAAAAGATATTTAAACACACCACATATTTAAGTTTCATCAGATTTAAATAAAAGGACCTTCAGCTGCTTCTTAAAGGTGTCCAGACTGTTAATACTATGTGTAAAAAAACAAACAAGGAAGTTCAAAAAGTGGAGGTTCAACTGCCTGGAAAGAGCAATCACCTCAACTTTTATATCTGATTTCTTTGGAACTTCTAGAAATATACAGTTTAGCTATGACACATAGAGCTCAGTCATTAGGCGGGAATCTGCTGTTTTATTTCAAACTGTCTCCACGTGCTATTGGATGATAAACAATGTCATGTTTTTTTTTAAATAAAGGACTTACGTTCCTCTATCTGCTCTTGACTCAAAGAAAAGCCTAAAGAGTCCAAAGCTGATGCCAAAACTGTTTCAAAAAAGCCATCGCCATCTTTGTTTTGGCGCTCTGTTGCAGTAACATCCCATCCACAAAACCAATACTGTATTGTACTGCAATGCTGTAGTTGGCCCACCAAACTGATAGAGCGCTGTAATTGGCCCACCAAACTGATAGAGCGCTGTAATTGGCCCACCAAACCGATAGAGTGCTGTAATTGGCCCATCAAACCGATAGAGCACTGTAATTGGCCCACCGAACCAATAGAGCACTGTAATTGGCCCACCGAACCGATAGAGCGCTTCAACCACCAAACCGATAGAGCAATGTAATTGGCAAGCCTCAAGACTGGTCAGGCCTGCTGAGGTTCTAATGGAGCGTGGCTAGACCGACCTGCAGAACAAACTCCTTTTGCTTTGGCTGCTGTCTGGCTAGATTTCCAGGCTACAAAATCTATGCAATATTTGTTTCGTTGGAGGACAACTCACTTCTGTGCTGGAAAAATACAGTGGTGTGAAAAACTATTTGTCCCCTTCCTGATTTCTTATTCTTTTGCATGTTTGTCACACAAAATGTTTCTGATCATCAAACACATTTAACCATTAGTCAAAGATAACACAAGTAAACACAAAATGCAGTTTTGAAATTATGTCTTCTTATTATTTAGGGAGAGAACAAAATCCAAACCTTCACTGCCTGTTGTCTTGTCTGCCCTGAACATGTCCAGTTTTCACACTCTGTTAGGGCATGGGGGGGGGGGGGGATGATTGACAAAAATGTCTGGGTGTTGATAATTTTTTGTATTTTACGTTGTGACTAGAGGTGTAAAGAGGTGAATTTTAAAGGTGTGGATCACTCATTTAATCGATACATTTGCAGTGGTCTCTAGTATGAATGAATGCCTTAAAGGCAGAACTCAGGGCACAACATAGCCCACAAAGCCTTGGCTCAGCAGGACCCATCTGCGACATCAGAGCTGTGCTCCAGACGAAAGGATTTGGAGTCTTATTTGCTGACATTTACACATCTTGCCTCGGATTGGATAAAAGCAATGTGACTCTACCACTGACTCTGTTTGTCTCTCCAAAAATAACAAGCCTGGAGGAGCATCTGCTGTGTGTTTGAGCTGCTAATGCTATTGGTTAGCTTCTGTTGAAAGACACATTCTCTGCTGACTCTGGACGCTAAACCAACAACAGCTTTTCCTGTCTTGAGTCAACATGTGTATGTCCAGTTAACAATGTGACGTAGATCTGTCAGGCTTTTCAAATCCTAGAGTTTCATCGTCTATTTTCTATCGGAAGCTAATGCAGGATATAGGTGAAGGAGACTTGTTTTTATGTTCAGCCTGCGTGAATACCTCAGAGTGGCTGATTATAATCAGAAACAATCATTGAATTATTTTTTCAGTCAACCACACCCTTAATGAAGCTGCATTAATTGCATTGATTTTGTGTCACTAAGAAATAAAACTTGCTCAAAGAGAGTTCCAGATTGCTTTAAAGTTGCTAGAAAAGCTCGACTCTAGAACCCAATCATCATTCTAGCTCCAGCTGTCAGACATATTAGACCAGAACCCCTTTCTCTGTAGGTTTCGAATGACTCTTCAGTTGCAAAAACAGTTTTTCCTGACAACTTGTTGATTGATTATGAATCAAACCAGTTTTGGTGGGTAGTTATCATAAAACGTGATGAATTCTGTTCAGCAGTAGTGAAAGGTAAAGAATAACCCTAACCCCACACTAAACTGATTTGAAGAAGAGGGGAAACAAAAATGACAAACACCCAAAAAGAAAATCCTAAATCTGTTGTTTTTATTTCACTTTGAGCTGCAGCACCAGTGTGCGTGCGGTCCCGCTCCGACCAGTCTGTTCCTTTGTTTGAAAAGAAACTGAGTAAATTCCTCGAGACGCCCGGTTGTAGTTCGTATCATTCATGGATCATTTTTCATCAATTCTTCTGAGAAAAAACATTTAGATTTTATGAAATCATATTGCTGAGCAGAGCAAAGAACAATGTGAATGGAAACTGTGAGAATGTAGATAAAAGACAGATTTATTATTAAAGCTTTTGTGAGATAAAGAGCAGGTGTGAAGGTAGCAATCATGTTTTCTGAGGAATAATAGTGGAGAGAAAAAAGCTGTCTTACCAGCTTTCTCTCTTATTTTTCTTTCTGTTCAGTGATTCTTTTGCAATCCTCACATATTTTTCAGCACGCATGTCTTTTCTCAAATAAAAAAGTGTCATCTCCACCTCTAAGTATTTGGCTAATTGGCAGCGTTTTATTACTCTGAGTAGAGGAGAAGATAGTAAAGCTGGTGTTCTTCTCTCATCCCAGATGCAGCAGATGGCTTTGCACCACCACCAGCAGCAACACCATCATCACCAACCTGATGGCGCTCATTACGATCTCGCTCGTAACCACCCCCTGATAAGCAACTCTCCTTCAATACTGCCCAACCCCATGAATGCACTATCCCAGCTAAACCATCAGGTCAGCCGGAGTGCACTGCCTCATGGCTCCCCCTCGCCTCCCGGGAGTAAATCAGCCACACCCTCCCCTTCGAGCTCCAATCAGGAAGAGGAGACAGATCCTCATGTGAAGGTACTGATATGGTGTCTCGGGCCTGTCGTAGTACAGATGGAGGCGAGGATGAGGTGGGATGAATTACATGCTATAGGAGCACCGTTGAGTTCAGGAGGAGTTTAGGTTGAGCTTCAGCTTGAGTCAAAGATATTTTGCAGCACAGCATTGAGTCACGTTTAAAGTTTAAATGTGAATTTGGGCTTCCCAATGAATGACCTATTGTAATGCTTAGAAAACTGTTGAATATTTGAAGATTGTATCCCATGAATGTAACAACAAAAATGGGCTTAGATTTAAACTTCTATTGTTCGGTGTACTAGTGTACAATGCTGTTTTCTTAGAGGTCAACTTCACTGAAAAAACATTTTTTAATCATTATTTCAGATTATAATCAGTCACTCTGAGTTTTCATGCAGGTTGAACATGAAAATAGTCTCCTACACCTATCTTCTGCATTAGCCTCTGATAGAAAAATGATGGTGAAACTCTTAAGATTTGAAAATCCTGATAGATCTACATCACACTGTCACTTAACATTCATGGACTCATCCTTCTTGACTCACGACGGGGAAGGTTGTTGATGGTTTAGGGTCCAGGAAACAGCAGAGCCCATCTCAGCTAGTAGAAGCTAACCTGTAGCATTAGCAACTCCACCACATGGCGGAACTCCTCCAGGCTTGTGTTATTTGTGGAGATAAAACATCAACATTGCAAAGCAAACTTAAGTCAGTGGTAGAGTTGTGTTGCTGCCAGCCGATCAGAGGTGAGATGTCCAAAGATCAGGAAATAAGACTCCGAATTCTGATCTGCCTTACTTCTAGCTCTTGAAATAAATTACACCATATTATAACTCCATTTGTATTTTATTTTATGTGTAAAAATTAAATTTTGTGTTGAGTATTGCATTTTTGCATGCGTTTGAATGCTACTGTTCCAGGGAAAAGTTAGCTTGAACAAAACTGGTCCATCACCATGACACCAAAAAACGTTGGAGACTGCTGAGTAAATACTTGTTTAAAAACAAACATAGTAGTTAAAGATTCCTACTTAGGAGTTTTACACCTTATTTCCAGCATCTCACTCACTATGTAAACATGTCTAGTTTTTTTGTTTGTTTGTTTGTTTGTTTTTTGTTCATGCAACCATTGGACAATCCAGTTTGGCATTTGTCCCAAAAAGAAAAACACCGTCACGGGCCAAAAATGATGTTTGGACTTAGATAACAGTGACTGGTGTTCAGTGCTATCTTGTGTCCTCTAGCATTGCGGGTTTCCGGTCCCGGCAGAAGCGTCTCAAGGATGATACCCGATGGGAGGTGGAAGTGTTCGGTGACCGCATTTGCGTTCAGAACCTAGCTTGTTTGCAGATTCACTATAGCAGCTTTAAAAGTGAAAAAATGTCATTGTCTTCATGCATTTGCATCATTCCTAACAGAGGAATCTAAATCCTCCTCCGCCATACATTTAGCTGCTGATTCACACTAAACACTAAAAATAAAAACAGAATCCTTTAGTTTAAATCACATATTTCCTTTTCTTGTATGTCTCTGCCGGGTTTCTCATGGCATATGTGAATAAAAATGATTACCATCTCTCCGATCAGTAAGTAATTCCATTTGCTCTCTCCAATTCATTCGGAGACCACATCAAAGCCAGAGCAGAAACATCAGGCAATTTAAAATTCCTTTCAACCCTGGCACGAAATGTCTGAATTTATTACTTGCTGAGCAACAGCAAAATAAAGATTTGAAAAGGTTTGATAAAATTCAACTAGCACACGATATTCTTTTTTGAAAAAGTACAGCAGAGGAAGGGGGGTTGCCTGTGAGAGAGAGTGCTACTGTCAGTGAAACATTGCTGCAATATCCAAACGTTGCTTATTGAACAGAGGAATCAAATTATAGAGTTAATGAAGTTTACACGCTTCACCTGGACCTGGTGTTATAAGCTATCGTCAGAGATGCAATTATTCATTTTGTGGCTGATTTATTTATTTATTTTAATGCATTTGGAATTTCAGACACACTTATCCCTTTTCAGTATTTTCTTCTCCTCTGATTGTTTTCCAGATGACGGGTGAGAAGCGGCCATCTTCGGAGATGATGAAGCCGAAGCCCAAACCCCAAAAGAAGAAGAAGAAGAAGGATCCTAATGAGCCCACTAAGCCCGTGTCAGCCTACGCCTTGTTCTTCAGAGACACCCAGGCAGCCATCAAAGGACAGAATCCTAATGCCACTTTCGGAGATGTATCCAAACTAGTCGCCTCCATGTGGGATGGGCTGGGAGAGGAGCAGAAACAGGTGCATTGATGCTGCTTTTGTGCAAATCATGGAAACATTTCACATGCATTCTGTAACAAAACTGGTGACCCAATGCAAGCTGGTCTTTGTTTTTTAGGGCTGGGTTGAAAAAGAAAAAACATTTACTTGTAAGTTCTTCCTTTATAAAATAAGTTTAGAATTTATTCTAATGAAAAAAATATATACAAACAGTTGAGAATAGCAGTAAAGGTGGAGTTCACTCGTTTAGTCAATACGTTTGCAGTGGTCTCTAGTAGGAAGAAAAGCCGTGAAGGTCGTACTCGGGAGCTCAGGTGCATCTGTTTCAGGAAGTGCAAGTCAGCTGGAGGAGAAAAGTTGCTTCATATGACAGGATTTGGAGTCTTATTTCCTGATATTTGGACATCTCCCCTTGGATTGGAGAACAACAACTCGACTGTACCACTGACTCTGTTCGCTCTGCAACATTGATGTTTTATCTCCCCAAATAACACAAGCCTGGAGGAGTTCTGCTGTGTGGCGGAGTTGCTAATGCTAATGGTTAGCTTCAACTAGGTGAGATGTGCTCTGCTGTTTCTTGGATGCTAAACCAACTGTCAAGGTGAGTCCATGAAATTAGGTATGGGTTTGTTTAAGAAAGCAAGTTAAGGATCATTCAGATTTTAGAAATGATGCATTGAACTTTTAGAGATCTATTTCCAAATTATACATCAATAAAACTATATCTGGAACCGTATTAAATTAAGAACACACATCTAAGAATATCACAATCTTCATTTCAGTTTTGATTCAGATCTTAGACCAAATTCACCAAGTTCCACTTGTTATATTTTAAATATGATTGGTCACTCTGAGTTTCGCGTGCAGACTAATGGGCTCGACACACGGGAGGCGACAAACGACCGCGATCAGCAAAATTTGTCGCCGTCGCTTTTATTACCTGACACACGGGAGGCGATCCGCGGCAGCGGCCAGCGGCAAAGCCGTCTACGCGTTCTGTTCCATGGCGAAATTGAAACTTCCGTTGTTTTGTTTGGCTGTGTCAAGTTGGAGGGAATTAAGGTTATTTAAGCGGTTCAGAGCTAAACAAGTGGTAGATATGATGTTTCACAAGGTGCTGCTAGATTTATGTGAAATCTTACTTCTGATTTTACTATATAAAAAATAATAATAATCAACTTCTTCATGTTTGCTCGGAGATGTGCGGAGCATTATATCCGCTCATTGGTCAGTGAATGAAACCTCCGTTGATTGGTCCTCGTCCGAGCGACAGCGATGAAAAGTTGAAAATGTTTCAACCTTCTGGGATCGCGTCGCTGGGTCGCCTGTGCACGACGTGCACGAGCGCAAAGTTTCACATGTACGTTTTTCGCATTTCGCTTGGTAGGAGGGAGACCCGCGATTATCGCTTTGTCGCGCATGTCTCATTGAAAATGAATGGAGGAGAGGCGATGTCGCCTCCCGTGTGTCGAGCCCATAAACGTGAAAACAGCCTTCTAGACGAAAAACACTGATTAGAAATTCCATACAGATCTACGTCACACTGAAAATTAGCTTTCATAGACTCACTTATCTTGGATCGAGATGAGGAAGGCCGTTGTTGATTTAGCGTCCAGGAGAGAGCAGAACACATCTTGGCTAGTAGAAGCTAACCATTAGCATTAGCAACTCAACAAGCTGCTAGCTTGCCAATCAGAGGCGAAATGTCAGAATATCATGAATACTAATGACTAACTCCAAATCCTGCGGTTTTCTGCCCTCCGTCTAGCTAACTTCTACTTCCTGAAAAAAGAGCGCCAGAGCTTTGTTTAAATGGTAAATGACCTGCATTTGTATAGCGCCTTCTTAGGGTTCTACAACCCCCGCAGTGCTGAATACAGGCACCACTGGTCCCTCCGACCATCACCAGTAGGCAAGGCGGATTAAGTGTCTTGCCCAAGGACACAACAGCAGCATTCTCTGGTCTGAGCCGGGATCGAACCTGCTACCACCTGAGCTACTGCTGTCTTGTTCTTGATTTGTTTTCTGTGTAAACAGATAATGAATCAAGAACAAGGCTTTTTTTTTTCATAAATGGCCTGTTTGTATAGCGACTTGTGATGGTTCTATAACCCCCCAAGGCACTTCACAACACTATCAGTCATTCACACACACATTCACACACTGATGGGGATGAGCTACGATGTAGTCACAGCTGCCCTGGAGCACACGAACACTATACCATCCTTATACTAGACACCACAGCAGAAATATTGAAATAATGAGTATCTACCTTTTTGAAGCTCATATGTTAATCACCTGCAACTTTTTTTGACTAGTTGAAAGCGCAATTAAAAGAAAAGTTACTAATTATTTGTAGAAATGCAACATCTTCACGAAAGCTAGAACAACCCAAAAAAGTGTGCAACATTTACACAGTATTCTTGTGAATGTTTTGCTACTTTTTTGGTCACAAATTAGTCACAAAAAGTTCTGAAATTATTGCTGTTAGCAACATTGTTGCATTTATTTCTTGAAGCAAAAAGAATGTTTGGAAGCGAGGCTTCTGAAAACCCAGAACCATTGTGAACGTTCCAAGACACTCTGGAGACCCGTTTGCAAATTCCTTTTATAATTCATCGCCAAATGAAATAGTGGATTTAACAAACACACTTTTTAAAACAGCACATAAATATATTTATAAAGTAAAAAACATAGGCAGAGTTAACACAAACGAAATAGCTTTGATGACCATTTATTTTAAGAAGTCATGCGTGGGATGCTTTTAGCTCCTGTGATCTGTTTATTTATAGATCTTATCTGTACAAAGCATTAAAGGCTCAACAGTGGAAATCTGTTCATTGAAAAACAGTCACACACGTTTTTTAGCCATCGTTGGTATCATTATAATTACCTACATGTGATTTTATTCTTGCCTGACCTGCATATTTAAAACGGCCTTTCACGTTTTACTGCAGGTTATTGATTCCACAATGAAGCACGGTTTCAATTTCATTTGAACATTCCAGGCCAACAGAGACTAATAGGTTTCTGTGTGTTTGTGGTAACAAATGATCGTGTGAAATGAAGGGAAAACGAGACAGTCTGATGATCATGCTTAGACTCATATTTTTAGAATATCCAGTCACTGTGCAGCCTATTGGGTGTCAAATAAAAGCACCTGTCTCCATGACAAAGTGCAGCCCATTCTCCACAGCCACCATCCACCAGACCCTATCCAGCATGTGTCTGTTTCTCCCACCAAACCTACTTTATACGCCGGACTTTGGAGGCCGGCTGTCCCTTTTATTTGCAGTTAATTTTTGCCGCCTTCACCGGGGCTCTTCACCATGAATCTTCATTTCGCCCGCTGACACCCTTGAATGTGAATTCCTCATTTCCTGTCCTTTTATTTATATCTGTTGCCTGGTGATTTGATCATGCTGGGAATACAAGATTAGCAATTGCCTTGCCCTTGGTTTTCCCCCTCAAGGACATCTGCTCCAGAAATGTTATTGTTTGTGCTTCTTAACCCTTTACGTCCTGGCTGTTCCTCTCATTGGAAATGCATTTATCCTTCACAGCTGAGCCCAGACCAGGAGCCAATTCACCATCAAACATCCACTCATTTAGCGCGCCACTCCACGCCTAATTTTTTGATTTGTTTCTGCATTCGTGTGTTTAATCAGACGTGCCACCTCACAGGACACGTAATTAACTTGAAGTAATGATTCATTATTGAATGAAATGTAGCACTCTGTCTAGGCAGCAACCACATTGATTGCTCTAATTATTACTGCATCAGCACTGTCGTTTATTACAGCACAACAAATGAATAAACTTCACAACTGTGTGTTTACAGAACAGATCCAATTCAGTTAGCGAACGTTAGCACGCGTTTAAGTCATTCAAATGTCTGCCCCTGCCTCTCGGAGTCCCGTGAACCAATCCCTTGTTGCGTTTACGAAACCCTCATTGCTAAAGCCTCGTACTTTAAACATTTACAATGCGCGGCTTTAATTTCAAGCTTGTGATCCGCTATGTTGGCTGTCACATCAGCGCTGAGGTTGAGGTGTGTTCTATAATGTCATAAGTCAGACCCTCTGGAGCCTCGCAAGAGCACCAGAATGTAAACACAACCCTTCCCCTACTCACTGCTTTGTTTTAACTAGACGGTGGCTCCTGTTTCCAATTACCTGTATCACTCCTTGAAAGTACCATGCTGCAAAATTCACCTAAATGCACTAAAAGTGATGCTTTTTTCTTCTGTTTTTCTTTTAATTTAAGAAGAAAAGATCAGACATTTCAGTGCTGATTTGTTTTTCCTCTTTGGGATAGTTTTTTAAGCATCAGCGTGCACTTTTGTTGCTTTGCACCTCCAGAGCTGTCCTTGAGCTCAGCAGAACAAAGACTCTTTTCTTTGTTTTTATTAAAATGTTATTACCATGCACACGTACTTGTTTTAAAGTATTTCTCATGCTTTTATGGCGCGGCATCAGTGTGTCATCTGCACTGTGTCGCTCCTCAAGGTGGCTACATGTTAAAGCTGCCCCAGAAACACGAAAAGAAAATTTTTCTTGTTTTTGTTATTTGAGATTAAGATCAATTTTTCAGGTTTTTGCAGCCGTGTGGAGGAACAGTGATAATGGATTTGGGGAGGAGGGGAGGGAGAGAGAAACTTTAGCTTTATTTAATTGAGTCTGTGTTTTGGTTTTGTGCACCAGTGAAAGGTCAAAGATAAAACAAAAGTACACTCACTTTTTTGGACTCAGATATTAAACTCAGCCTCTGTTTTATTGCTTTTTTCTCCCTCCTTGTGTGCTATTCATCTGCATTGTTGTAGTTTGTGCTTAAATCACTATTTCCACTTCCCACTTCTTTCATGGACTCCGATCGCTCCGTCTTCCCTTCGCTGGGTAATCACTCCCTTCAGTGTCAGCAGGGTGTGGGGGTTATTGTCTCCTGTAATTAACCGGTTATCAAACAAGGACAATTCATTAAGGTACAATTAGGGGCTAATTCAGACGGGACACCTCTGTGTCAGGATTACGACAGAGGCATATGCTCTCCCCTCACAGCTTTGTTATTTTTAATTCAGACTGACCTGCAGCCTTTGAAGGCTTCAACCGCTAATGAATCCACTCACTTTGGAATAATTAGACATCCTTAGGCATGGTAATTTGTTTAAAAGTATCTGTCGTTGCTCGAGTCATTAGCTGTGTTAAATGAATTTGAAATTAAAGCTGCTGGGAGTAGTTTAGATTATTAAACATGACACTTTCCTCCTATTTTTTGTTTAAATTGAGCTGAATTCTCTTTAAAAAAACTTAAATGGTAAATATTAATCAAAAGGTAAGTTTTGTGCTTCCATGTGGGTCTCTACTGCCCCTATAAATGCTCCAAACATGAAGAAAACTTGTCCATTTGTTTTCTGTCAGCCCCAACTGTGATGTCACAAACGGGGAAATCAGAATAGAACTCCCTCTCATGTATAGGAGAGAGCTGCTGCTGGAGAAGCAGCGACTGAGTCCTTCCTGGAAATTGGAGCTTCTCTGCTTATAGCAGCCTGAGCGTGGGATGGGTGGGCGTGGCCAGCTCCAGCTTGTTTTCCTAAAGTGACAGAGCCCTGAAACGGCTCATTATGGAAGGTACTGAAACTGTCAAGTGGGAGGGATGTTTGCATAAACATGTTTTGTATCGACTATAGATCTATTATAACTTGAGGGAAAATTCATAATATGTCATCTTTTAAGTACTTTAATTGTTTCCATTTTTGTCTTGCTCTGTGAGGAAAATGATAATAATAATATTGCAAACAGGGATGAGTGAGAGGATAAACGTCAGCTGTTTGAGCAGGAGATTGTATCCGCCTCCGAGCCAGTTTGTTTGCTGTTCTATGTGTTTGTTGACTGTTTGTGTTCGCGGCTGCCAGCCTCTGTGCATTTGGCAGCACATGAATGCTTAATGGTTATTCTACCCCACCTCTTTGAAAGAAGTGACCCTGCCCATGTTGCCACAGACAGTATCTCGTGGAGGATCAGTAATTACCCACTGCATTCACTCACACACAAACACACCATTTCCTTCATATTAAAATGCTCTGGGGACGAGCCGAGATCTGAATCCCTTTTTTATCGATTTAAGGGTGGACTTTCTGCGACTTGCTTTTGCGGCATCAAAAAAGGCAGTGGCAGCTGTATAAAGCCTGTGAGTGACATGTGATGACATTAACTTGAATTCCCTGTCTCAACGCATCATTTGAGGGTCATTCAATAAAGCTTAAGATTGCCTTTTTGCTCATGCTGTTTTTGAGTTCTTTTATTTCTTTTTTTCTTCCTCGTCTGAGTGATTTGCTGGGACATCAGCTCTGATTAGGAGATGAGCAACAGCCTTAATAGAGCAGAAGACTGAAGAGCAGTACACAAAGTGACAAACAGAGACTCAGTCCTTGTTTAACTGCCTTTCTATATTCAAGTTATTGTGCCCAATCTTTCTTGACATTTCGTTTTGCACTGGATTAGTCTATTCAAGAAGCGAACGCTTCAAAAGCATCAACATCATGCAAATGGTGAAATCTCCTTGACCTAATAATTGTACATTGAATGCATGTGAAATGTTGTTTTTTTTCATTGCCACGGTGACTGCAAACATTTCACCCACATCAGTCAACGTGCAACACAGGCTCATTGTAGCCCTTGGCGTCAGCTTATAATCAAACGTTGTTGTTGTTGTGTTTGCTCCTGCAGAGCTACAAGAGGAAAACAGAGGCTGCTAAGAAGGAGTACCTGAAAGCCCTGGCCGCCTACAGAGCCAGTCTGGTTTCCAAGGTAACAGCGAGGGTCACATCTTTCATATACATGGGTCAGAGACAATATATAGGATGATAAATTAGAGAATTCTTCTCACTTTCCATCCAAGGAAAAGGTCTAATAGCTGCTCAAAGGGTGCAATGAGCATGCAAACGACACATGTATGTATAAAATGTTAATATATGCATGAGTGTGAATGAGAGGTGCTGTGTGCGTGTGTGTGTGCGTGTGCGCATGTGCGTGTGTGTGTGTGTGTGCGTGCGTGCGTGCGTGCGTGCGTGTGTGTGTGTGTGTGTGTGTGTGTGTGTGTGTGTGTGTGTGTGTGTGTGTGTGTGTGTGTGTGTGTGCGTGTGTGTGTGTGTGTGTGTGCTCTAAAGAGAACTAGGAAAATTAGGCCTCAAACACACCCAATTTGCAACCTGGGGAGAAATGAAAAGTAATAGTGCACATCTGTGTGTGAGCTCATCTGCGTCCACGTGTAAGAGCAAGAGTGGACATTACCTGTCGTCTGCTGTCCTCCTGGTGTTTCACTCCTCCCTGGTGGGCTACTAATGTGTTGGCTCAGGTTTGCTCACATTCACTGCTCTCCCGGTGATGCAGTTCAGCCCAGAAGTCCTAACAGTGTTCTCCCTGTGTTTGCTTTAACACATTCTAACATTTCCAACAATGGCTGCAACAGATAAGGTTCACCCCACTCCTACTGCACTGCACTTCCTTTCTGTCTCTTTGCATTGTTCATCATATCCAACTCTAAATTGCATTAGCATATAGCAAGCTCCTCCTCTTTGCCCTCCTCCCCTTCCCCCTCCAAACACAGCACCACACTTCCTCTCATGCTCATGGGCGGAAAACAAGCACCTTGATTAAGGCATGAATAGTTAATTCATCAGCCTCTTCAGCGCGGCGCACTTTCAACTCAAAAGACCATTCTCATCTCTTGTCTCTGCTGCGATTAGACATTCAAGGCGTTCTATACAGAGGCTTGATTGATGCCATATGCTAGATTGCCAGTCAAAAACATAAAAATCTGACTGACAAAAATAAACCTGCAAACCTTCCGTCGCTCACATTAAGAAGCAGCCGGCCCCGAATGCAGAACTGAACGTCGTCCTTCAAAATGACTGTTTTTTTTTTAATTACCAGTGAAGGAGTCTTTTCACAGTGAGTTCGGGTGGGTGGAATTGGAGGTAATTGGAGTTTCATTTGAAGGATTTACATCCTCAACATGCACCTGTTGCCTTTTTGTTGTGTAACTTGTTCTTTTGCAAGAGAGAAGTGGGGGAAGGTTTTATTGCTACATACTATATACACCCCTTCTCCCGTGCTCATTTAAGAACTCCACGTGGAGAATGTGTCAGAACTACATTTTACAGATGTTATATTCTCTAAAGCAACACTTAATGTTTCCCATTTCTCTCTCTCCTACTGGTTGAAAGCAAAATGACAACTGTGAACTATCCTGTTGTTGGCGCTAACAATGAGCTAATGCTAACGCGAGACAACTGATACTAAATAAGCCACAAAGTAAAAACACCCACCCTGTTGGGCAAAAATATTATTACTTACAAGTCCAGTAGCCACAAAACCAGTTCACCATCTATCCATGATTTTGTAGACTCCTTTAGCTCTTCTTTCTTTTTATTGATGGCAAGTAAACTGAAAAAGCTTACTGCTAGCCTTACAATTAGCTACTGGCAGGTAGAGAACTTCTTCTAGTGCTTCTACTCAAACCACTAGCAGCAGGGCAGCAGTAGCTCAGGTGGTAGAGCAGGTTGCCTCATGATCGGAGGGTCATGGGTTTGATTCCAGCTCCCACCAGGGGTATCCTGCTGTTGTGTCCTTGGCAAGACACTTCACCCAACTTGCCTGTGTTAGTGGTGGTCAGAGGGGCCGACGGCGCCAAATCGCATCCTCGCCTCTGTCAGACCTCCCCAGGGTGGCTGTGGCTACAAGTAGCTTACCATCACTAGCAGTGTGTGAATGTGAGAGTGTATGAAAATGTCTTTGGGTGTCTAGAAAAGCACCATATAAGTTAAATGCATTATTATTATTACTACTGGAGGAGCATCCCCTCCCAGATATCAGAGCTTCTCAGCTAATAGTAGCCAATTAGGGGATGGCTGGGTGGGCATGGCCAGCTCCTGCTTGTTTTCTTAAAGAGACAGAACTCTGAAATGGCTCATTGTGGAAAGTACTGAAAATGTCAAGAATAAAACAGCTGAAATTGCTTTATGTGAGCAAGATTTTGTGCAAAGAACTTAATGAAATTTTTTTGTACAGATAATAGAACTGCTATAACTGAAGAAAAAAGTCATAAAAGGTCCCCTTTAAATCTTCACAAACTGCTTAAAATACAAAAAACTTCTGGGATAATGCACCATTCTTGAATATCCACTTCAAAATAAGACTCAACAAATCAAACCCACCATTTCTACCTTCACCTCATTTCGTCTGTATTTCATTTTCCACTTGACCCTGCAAATGTGTCTGTCCCTCTGCCTGATCCGTTCCCTCATCCCGTCCCATTGATTATTTCAGGAATTCAGCTGGATGGATGTGAGCCATTACTAAATAGCAGACCACCACACATCAACGCGACCGGTCTGACAGCTAATGGGAAACACTCGATGTATTTCATACTTATACGCCTTCTTCTGAGGGAAGAAAGAGAAGCAGAAAAGCCAGAGGAATGGATGTTTTTTGTGTGCAAGTGAGTGCAACGCTGGCTGGATGGAGGTAGTGAAGAAATAAAGAATAAATAATTATGAGAGGAGGCTCAGAACAGCAATCAGAAGCTAAATAGTCCACATATAAATTGTTCAAAGTAATCAGCAAGATGAATTTTCATTTATTTCATAATTATCTCTACATAATTGCACTTCAATGTAAAATTAATTCACCTTTTTACAGTTTTTAAAGCTTCCCTTGAGAGAATTTTCACCATAGGAATTTAGAGCTGCAGAGAATGATCAAATCAACGTATCGATAAATTTACATTTTTAAATTAACCAATGTTTTTACAACATACATTATATAATTTGAAACATACAACAAATGATGTACATAAATGATGAGTTAATTTAAAGGGACTTTTCGGACTTTATAATTTTTTTGCTTGCGATTGCCCCCTCAGGCCAAAAGCGTAACGGCAGCTTCAATAGTAGGCTCGTGCACGAGGCGCGCATGCTGTACGTGCACACTCCTTAACAAAAATAACAGCTGAGACAGTCCCGTGTGTGTGTGTGTGTGTGTGTGTGTGTGTGTGTGTGTGTGTGTGTGTGTGTGTGTGTGTGTGTGTGTGTGTGTGGCCCGGAGGACAGAAGAGCACAGCAAATTAATAAAAATAATGTCCCTCTGTCTCTGCAGCTGCACTTTCTCGTCGGCCGGCCGAACGTGCAGTGTGTGCATGTGTGTGTGTGTGTGTGGCCCGGAGGATAGAAGACAGGAGAACACGCAGCTAATTAATTAAATAATTTTGTTCTGTACCTTTCTCTTCAGCACAGCCGACAAAGGTTTATGATGGGTCAGTCCTCCTGCATGCTCAGATCATTCCCTTCCCTTGCTTGAAAAATTGTTCCAAAATTGTTCCAAAATCTTTTTTATCCGTGAATTCAATGCCTTTCGGCGAGTCTCAAATAAAATTTGGGCATCTTATTACTGTAAAAAAATGATCATTAATGTAAAAAAGAAACTCCAAATAACAAACTTTATTCAAACCCAGAATCGAAACCAGGTCTCCTACATGAGAGTCAGACATCTTACTAAGTGAGCTAAGGCACCAGTGATGTTCCTTTTATCTGTAACATTTATATCCTTGATAACACCTGAAACAACGTCAATCCAAAGAACGGTTCGGAACGAAAAAGGCTATTTTGTTGCTAATTTGCAGGAAATATCTTGAAGAAAGTTCTACAGAAAGTAGCTAAGGGTCCTCAGAAATGTAGCTAGGTTCATCACTAGGCGTTAGGAACAGCGACAAAGTCGCTGAGTTGGCACTGCCTCTCTCTCTGCTGCTAAAGCTACTGATAGCAAATTTTACGGGCTATGCCTGAGCGTGAACGTGCATGAAGCAGCCTGCTCGACCCGAGCAGCTCTTTTTCTGTGATTTTACAGAAAAACAGGCAATCACAGTAAAAATGCCAGGGCTCATCCTACAGGACCAGGGCATTGCAGGAGAATGTATGAAGAAGACATTTATTATTTCTATACATGTTGTGGCTGTCAAACTTCCTTATAGTCCCTTTAACCTTGTATAGAACAAATATGTAACCATTAAATTTACAACCCTTTAAAAGGAGGATAAGAGCTGTGAGAGTGGCAAATAAACTCATGAAATCAAATTGTGTGTGTTTCAGATGAATAGAAAAGAGAAGAAAATACAGACAGACTATTTTAAATACAGTAATATTTTTCTCATTCACTTGAGTTGCTTTGCAGACAATTGTTGCCTTAATTCTTCATTGAGGGGAGACAGCTCTTTGAATAGCTTCAGTTTTGAGAAACAGATTAGCTAACAGTGTGTGAGTGGAGTCAACAAGGTGTCTAAAAGTCTCGATCTTAAAGACGTTTTAGGAAATTTATGAAAACTCGATTTTAGAACCTTTACACTGTACTTTATTATGAAATTCCAGCAAGAAAAAGCTAGAATTTTCCCAAACCATTTCCTCTGCAAATAACCACATAATTCTTAGTAAATAACCATTTGAAATGAAACTTATGGCTTTGCAAGAGTTTATTACAATAACTGATCTGATACTTTTAAGATTCTCATAAAACAGCAGAATTGGTTTAATCACTTCAATCACTTTTTTACAGAAAGACACATCAGAGTGTCTGAATACTCATAGTAACTTTTGCAGCACTTATTTTGACATTTTCTGCAACTATGTCAAATTTAATCGACCAAAAATTGGCCTGAAAATGTAATAGAGATAATCAGTGTTGGCCTTTACTCTTTTATTGACATTACCTTTACACACAATGTGCATGATACTCTTCAGCTACTTCTCCTCTCAATCAGAATGTCATAATATGAAAGATCTGAAGTTTTTGATATGTTTTTGTTTGGTAGAACTGGTCAAACTTAAATTGAAGTAGTTGTCATACTTAGCTGTTAGGTCCCTGTATTACCGGTGTCAGAGCTTGGTCCACATTGCCGGCATTAAGTCGGGCTCATTCCCAGTGAGAGTTGGACTCCGCCAAGGCTGCCCTTTGTCACCGATTCTGTTCATAACCTTTATGGACAGAATTCTAGGTGCAGCCAAGGTGTTGAGGACATCTGTTTCGATGGCCTGAGGATCAGATCTCTGCTTTTTGCAGATGATGTGGTCCTGTTGGCTTCATCAGAACGTGATCTTCAGCTTTCGCTGGAGCGGATCATAGCCGAGTTTGAAGCAGCTGGGATGAGAATCAGCTCCTCTAAATCTGAGACCATGGTCTTGATTCAGAAAAGGGTAGAATGCCTTCTCCGGGTCAGGGATGAGGTCCTGCCCCAAGTGGAGGAGTTTAAATATCTCGGGGTCTTGTTCACGAGTGAGGGAAAACTGGAGCGTGAGATCGATAGGCGGATTGGTGCTGCTCTGCAGTGATGTGGACGTTGTACCAGTTTGTCGTGGTGAAGAGAGAGGTGAGTCAGAAGGTGAAGCTCTCGATTTACTGGTCGATCTACGTTCCTACCCTCACCTATGGTCATGAGCTTTGGGTAGTGACCGAAAGAACGAGATCGCAGATTCAAGCGGCCGAAATGAGTTTTCTTCACAGAGTGGCTGGACTCTCCCTTAGAGATAGGGTGAGAAGCTCGGTCATTCGGGAGGGGCTCGGAGTAGACCCGCTGCTCCTCCACATCGAGAGGAGCCAGTTGAGGTGCCTCGGGCATCTGGTCAGGATGCCTCCTGGACGCCTCCCTGGTGAGGTTTTCCGGGCACGTCCAACCAGTAGGAGACCTAAAGGTAGACCCAGGACACGGTGGAGGGACTATGTCTCTCACCTGGCCAGGGAACGCCTTGGGATTCCCCCGGAGGAGCTGGCCCAAATGGCTGGGGAGAGGGAAGTCTGAACCTCGTCTTAGGCCTTAGGCTACTTAGCGGATGAAAATGTATAGATGGATGGATTGATTAAAGTTTGAGTGTGCATAGGAGATATGTGGTATGATACAACCAAGAGGACCCTGCATATATCGTGTCAGAATTCAAAATTTAGACTATATCGGTGTTTTGGATATCAGTTTAAAAAGCCGATATCAAACCTTGCTGCTTGCCACTTAAACACCCTCCCATAAAATCTAATTATCATAAACAACTGTAGATGCTTTTATTTTTCATGAGGTAACACGTTTATCTGTTTCTCTCCCAGACGTATAACGACCCAGTGGAGACAAAAGCAGCCCAGACAAGCCAGGCTTCTCCACATATGATGCCAGCCAACACTCCCCTGTACAGCGTGCCACCGCCACCCCAGTCATCATCGCCATACCTGGGGCCCGGGGCCTTCCCCCTCACCGACCTGCAGAGCTATGCGGGACACGCCCCTCGCCACACTCTGTCGCAGACGCTCAGTCAATCGCCGATGCTGCCCAGCATTAGTGCCTCTCCACCTTCCTCCTTCCAGATCAGCCCTCCGCTTCACCCCCACCAGCAGCTCTCCCTGCACCAGAGCACGCTCCTCAACCAGCCAATCCGCATGCAGCAGGTCCAGTCCCAGCCAATCATCTCCCACCAGATGGGGCTTCAGGCTTCTCTTCACTCCCCACCCCCAGGGCAGCAGGTACAGAAGCAAAACCAAGACACTTTTATTGATGTTTCCACCTTAACCTGTTGGTTTAATTACCTGGACTTTTTTTTTCCATCAGGGTTTTTCTCACCTTCAGTCAGAGTACCAGAAGAACATCGGAGGTTCTCAGTCTCCAGGAGCCCCAGGGCCTGGACAAGGGCCTGGAGTGGCACAGACCCATGAGTGGGACGGTGAATACTGCAATCGGGAGTGTGGCAACCACTGCAGGTGAGTCTTAACAGTGTTCTTGAAACAGAATGATTCACTTCAGTCTGACTCTCATGAACATGCACCTCTACCTAGCAGACGGATTTAAAACGTGTTGTTTTACAATTATGTTTCTCACGTTATGCTATTTATTCACACACACACACACACACACACACACACACACACACACACACACACACACACACACACACACACACACACACACACACACACACACACTTTTTAAGACTTACTCACCAGTCCATAAGAAATGTCGCCATCTCATCACGAGTCTTGGTACTTCCTCAAACGCACACTCTGTGATTGACATGTGTACATAAGAGGACATCTAACACCATTACCTAATTGGCTAATGCAGAGCGATGCTCAGTTCAAATTTCATAGTGCTCTACAGAACAAAGAAAAAGTATGTATTGCCAACATTATATCCCAGTGCAGGGTCATACTATCGCTTTGATGGATTTCTAAAAAATATGAATACATTTGCACCAGAATATACTTCCTTCGTAACCTCGTGCTGGTGCAGGTAGCAGGCTGCGTCTTTGTTCACATATTTGCTGCTGCATGGCAAAGCCATTTTAAACCCGCACATGCTTTGTTAAAAGTATATTCCAGCCCTTCTTCCTGAGAGGAGGAAACTCAGATTGCTGCTTTAAGGTTTATAAGGATACACATGTCGGACAGATCCTGTCCAATCCAGTTTTTAAACTAGAAGTTTACTAGGAACAAACGTTTCCACCACAGTATACGGTCATGTCAGATGATTCTGCCAGGATTTACTCAACAAAAACAACTCAGTTCTAAAATAAAGAGGAGAGACAGCTGGAAATACAACATAGAGATAATACTGCTGCAAAATCTGCATCTTTATTTAAGCTCAGAAAATATTTATTTTTCTTTATTAACAGGCAAGAAAATGAGTCCCTGACAGTCAGATCAATGCATTTTCTGTTGAGAAGTACTTGTACCTATTTTTTCTCTGTATTCGGGTCTAATTTGATGTTTTTGTTCTTTGTTTATCTCATTTTCTGACAGTGGCAACATGATAGGCAGGGACAAGCCACTCTACCTCACCTGAAACTGAAGATTTTACTCTGCTGAAAAAAACCGACACCAAGGAGTCTATTCTCACCACCTCCCCCATTCTCTCCTCCCAACCCTTCCTCTGATGCACACACTTAGATCCAGTGCACACTTAACATGCAAACACACATAAACATGCACACACACACATACACACAGGCCTCTTGTCTCCACCAACTTTATTTCTCAATGTGATTATTATTATTTTCTCAGTTATTAAGACTTTGTGACCCAGTTTGTTTTGTTTTAGATGACTACTGTCTGTACCACTTCTTGTATTAGCAGTCCCCTTGCTGTTTAAAATTTGCCAAGCACTTACGAAGCTTCCTTTCACCCCTCCTCATCCTCCCTCCTTGCCCCCTCCCTGAGTTGTGTCTATATGCCCTCTCTGATGGAGATCAGGCTGTAGAGCACTCCTCTTGTGTGTGTGTTCATCAAAAGTCCCCCTCAGGGACCCCATCCAGCTTTAAGTATATCGAAAAAAAAAAAAAAAGATTTTTCCTTTTTTTTTTGCATTTTTTTTGTAAAATTTTCTCATCGTTGCTGTCTTATTTATTTCTCACTTGCAAAATTATTCCATTTTATTTTTCATTTTATTTCCCCATCATTTAAATTTCTATTTTCTTAAATTGTTATATATATATATATATATACTTTTTTTTTTTTTTTTTTTTTTGCCAAAAACGTGATGGGCCCTGTTACGTAGAGACATAATAACTTCTAGTGCGTTCCGCTTAGGCCTCGGTGTAACGGTAGCTTCGCTTTATGGGCCTGGTGATTAAAACAAAACAAAATTCTTGGGTGGGGCTGAAAAAGAAAATGAAAGTTTTTTTTTTTAATTAAAGACCTGTAGAGGTCTACGAGCTGTCACAGTGTGATTGTAAATATCACTATTATCAGATCAAATCGGGGATTGAAAGTCCAGATAGATTTCTTTCTTCTTTAATAGTACACATATGTTATTGTGTGTGTGTGCGTGCGTGAGTGCGTGCGTGCGTGCGTGCGTGTGTGTGTGTGTGTGTGTGTGTGTGCGTGCGTGTGTGTGTGTGTGTGTGTGTGTGTGTGTGTGTGTGTGTGTGTGTGTGTGTGTGTGTGTGTTTGAGTCCTTGTGAATTTTAACAGCCTTGTGCAGCTGGATTTCTGAAAAGTATTTCACACTTTCATTCTTGCATTAAATCTGTGCTCACTGGTGTGTTTTTTTTTTCCAATAAAGTTCAATCTCAAACCGAATACACAATATATGTCCTGCAGATCATTAAATGGAAAGGAGCCAGGTGAGAGATCCAGAGCACAGGGACGGGGACAGGAGAAAAGAAACGCTGTGAGATAAAATGAGATGTAAAAATTTCAGACGGTGGCTGAAAAAAAATTAATTGCCTCTGAAAGCCCCCACCCCTTCTCCCCCCTTTCATTTTATCATCTCATCATAACGTCATTGTTGCCTCCTCCTGCTGCAGAGGTGAAGAGCTGCAGAGCTGTGAGTGGAGCCCTCACATCCATGTCAACAGTGGTTTCTCTAAGTTTCTGGTTGGTGTTTGGTTGTGTTGAGCTCATGTTTTTAACTTTTGTGTGATTAACAGAAATGCGTTTAGCTGACAAAAACATCTCATTTTTATCTCTTTTGTGTAGCAAAATTTTCAGTTTTTAGTTGCTGCAAGACAATAACATTTCAAGTTGTGTTAAAAAAGAACAAAAAACCTGCCAACTGTAGTTATTTTATTTGTAAAGCCAGTATTGATAAATAATTTTAATGGTTATCAGTAAATTTTTTTAGCTAGCCGCTCATCAGCTGTTGGACATTTTTTTTTCTTATTTATGAAAGAAATTAGATCACTTTTGCTTCTTACAATGGAGGTGTATTTTTATTCTCTCTTTTTGTTTTGCTTTGGTTTGATAAATGATGATGATGACGATCACAGCAGCATTTTTTAAATAATTTTTGGATGCTGCCTTATTTCTTTTCTCGCCAGCAGCATCGGTTTCTGTCACAATGCTTCTTTTATTTCAAACCTGCATAATAAAGAAAAAAAAGTTTAAAAGTGAACGCGCTGCTTGCCTCTTCATTTCCCTGCAGACTCACTTGCCTTTTCACTCCTCCAATTAGATGATCACACCTTTCATTGAGGACTTGATAATAGCTACAATAAAGATACACAAACACCCCCACCCCCCACCTTCCAACTCACTCGGCTGCACTTCAAATCTGCTCTTAAGAGGGTCACTTTCATAACTTGTATTTATATTTAGCCCCGATGGCATTAGCTAATTAACTGTAGATCGTGCTCACCATCCTGCATGGATGTTGCCAGTAAACCATCTCGATGAACAGGAGAGCAGATGCGAGAAGACGTTTGCTTTTGCTTGTGAAACTAGTGCGTCGTAGGCGTCTAGTTTGAGATAAAGAGAACTGAAAAATGCAATGTGCATACAAACTCAGGCAACCATCCAAGTGCTGATTTTACCCCAATTGCACACAAGTCTCCTAAGAGACTACAAGAGAGGCTAGGAGACATTGAAATGGAACTGTCACGGTCCCCTTTCCATGTTTTATTCATTTTTCGCCCGCCTGCCGTCTCTTCTTCAGTCGTATTGAATTGGCAAATAGATCATTATTGGACCATTGGAAAACCTGCCACTTTGTGATATGACACACATTATATGAAAATCACAGTCATACATTCTTAATGCAGTGTCAGATAACAGAGGCTTTGGATGCAGTCACACAGACAGTCTTTTGTGTACCTACAGTCACGCTTTAATGAATATCTGCTTTTGAATAAGAGTGTTTGTGTTTTTATCCTTTAATTTTGGGGTGAAAGAATAAAAACGTGTTAATGAAAACAATGAATTGAGTCACTTGTGCTTTTATTTTACCAAAAATTAAAAAAATTCTAATCAAAGTAATGGTAAAGAATAATTAAATGAAGCATTGCATATGTATGCACCCTGAGGCTGTGCAGGTCACCATCTGTAGTCAATTCTGAAAGCAGAAACTATCAATCTGACAGTTCTGTCAGCACCTTTAATCCCTGAGTCAGAGTAAAAAAAATCTGAAGTGAGGAGCAGCAAAGGATGTCAATACGGTCTTGTGATGCAGTCATTCTGTTGCTTGAATTGATCTTAAAGGGATGATTTGACCATTTTGAAGTGGTTTTCTATATAAAATTCATAAATACACCCTACCTTCCGTTGAGAGTAATATTATTTTTGTCCTGAGAGACTGATGAGCTAACCACTAGTTCAAGTACAGCAAAGTGTGCTGTTGCCACCTAAAACAGCTCCAATCCTGTGAAACTCACAGTTGCTCATGAAAACATCATTTACATGCACACACACACATAGATCAGGGATGTAAGAAGATAAACTGAAATATTGCTGTATTTTGTGCCTTAATAGCTTAGAAATCTAAGCAGAGAGTAGCAGCGGCAAAATGATTTTGCTGTGCAGGTCTGTCTAGACACACTCCATAGGATCCTTAGCAGGTCTACCATTGGCCCGATCAGTTTTGTGTTATCCCAATGACAGCGCTCTATCGGCTTGGTGGTTGGGAGGATGCAACAGAGTGGAACAACAAAAATGACTTTGGACTATGTAGACTTGGGTTTTTCTTTGAGTTGAGAGCAGATAGAGGTACTTAACTTTATTTAAAAAAAGGATGTATTTAAGTCTTTGACAGTGCATGATTGCCCTGTTGAATGACATCTGTTGCAGTGAGTATGTCACATTGTTCATTGTCCGATAGCATGCAGAGACAGTTTGATTGTCAACCTAAAGCCTGGTTTATGCTTCTCCGTCAGCTCCGCAAGGGACAGACACGCACGGATTGATGGAAGCGTTTTGCTCTCATACTTCTCCGTCTCCTGGAGAGTGTTGCAAAGCAATTGCCCGGCAGGACAACAGAGGGCGTAGCGCTGTTCTTTGGTATCCTGTCATGTATCGGTCCAAGATAGTGTGTTTATATTGTGTGTTTTGTGTATATAAGAGACTTTTTAACACGGACGTATTTGTCTCTCATTCTCCCACCTCTTCATGCGCTCCCCACCTCTAAACCCACATTTCCTGTCATTTCTGTCCACAAATAAAACGCTTGCTGCGCATCTTTTCACTCCTCCAGTCACGGGAGGATTAAGCGTTCATATTTTTAGAGTTTTTTTGCGAGGTATTCTTCAAACTTCTCCGTGTCTGCCGCTTGTTATCCTCGGCTCTCTTTGCAATGGCGGCGCTGTAAACAATAGCGGCGTCCTGACCAATCACAAGCTTGCGTAATCCATCTCGTTCGACGGATGTTTAAAAAAGTGGGCTCGACTCCATACGTACTTGCGTGCCTGCCGGAGCCCTACGCAACGACGGATAATGGCGTTGCGTGTCTCCGCACTGACGCAGACGGAGAAGCATAAATCAGGTTTCAGATTCCACGCCACAACTGAGCTCTGTCTATGGGTCGCAACCAGACTTTAAATTCACACATACGGAATGGCTTGCAAGGCCAGTGCCATGATACCTTTTGTTGGGAATTTACAATCATTCATTGTATTTTGTTTGTGTGGTGCAATTCAAATTATGACCGCTAGGTGGCAGCTGTTTTTCCAGCTTCTCTCTGATGGGACAACGAGATCTCGCGATAACACTTGTTTCGTCTTTGAAGCATCTGGCCTGAGTTTTCCAATTAAATTCAGTCTCAAAAACAGCAAAGATCCTCATGTATTATCACAAAATAAATCTTTAGGTTCTTGCTGATATACATCCTATATGACCCCGTCAAAACTCTTCCGTCTACATATTGTATGACAACAATAATCAGACCAGTCATATATAAAACCATTTGAATACACTTAAGCACATACACACAATCACATGTTTTGATGATTTTTTTTCCATATTAAATATGACTGACTGGTTATTCTGTGAAGGAGATACTGTCCTTTTTATGTCTATAATGATATTTCATTAGAAATTAAATTTAATGTCATATCATTTAAAAGCAACACTTCAAAATACTAAAACAGAGTTCTATAAAATCATATTATTCCTCATATATTATTTATCTGCTGTCGTAAACAAACGTTTTTGATGTTTGTAGATGTTCCTGAGTGGAAAAATCTTGATTTAATGCATTTCTAAAACAGGGACCTCAATCAGCAAGTTTGAGCTTGAGTTCAAAAGAAATGAAATGGTCAGTAGTTGAACTTTAAACAACCAAATCTGTCTCAGACTAACCTCCCGCAGCATTCAGCCAAAACCTTTTAGTTTCAACTTTAGTGCAGCGATGGAGAGACAAACAGCAGGAAATGTGGGTGGTTTTAACAAGAAACCAGTCTCACGTTGGGCTCTGAATCAGTTAAGGTTTCTTTTTTATGCTGACTGCACACTGCTTCATACATTTTTATCCAGCAGAACATATCAACACTGGAACTTGTAAATAACGTGCAGTTTTCTTATTTGAATGTTCTTTTAAAAACTGCATAAGCTCTGCCAAGTTCTGGGATTTCAAATGACAATCCCGGTTGTGGAAGAGGGACTTTTTTTTTGCTGCGATATTCACTTCACGCTAAAACACCAAGGCAAACAAAAGACGGCGCACGGAGAATGAAGTGCAGCACAAAAGAAGGTTGTGGTTTTGCACTTCGAACATTTATGTAATCAAACATAGAAACTCCGTCAGCTTTTACAATCAAACAGTTAATGCTTTCAGCGGGCAAATTTAACTAGTTTTGTGTTTTTGGTTTAGCACCAAGAAAACAACAACAACATATGTTTTAATGTTTTGTTTCACGTTTGTCTATTTAGGATGCATTTTTTTCTTTTTACTTATTAACCTCCATCTGAGTGAGTGTGAAACATCAAGTAACATCAAGTAACAGACAACGTTTCTCCATGACTCGATTCAACCAAATTTTTATTTCTCAAAGTCAAATGAGCTCTTTACCTTGTGAGAATGTGAACTTGAGTCCAAACAGGCTCTCATTTAAATAGGATTCAAATTGCATAATCAATTGTGTTTCGCTGTTTACTCTGATTTTTCTTAGAAACCTGCAAAAGAAAGAATATTGTTTAGAATAAAAGCAATACATCTGTTCAACCCGTAGTTTAAAAGCTCTCATTCACTCATTTTACAACACATATGCTGTGGTCTTTAGTGTTAATGGCTTCATTGTGAGTTGTTTTCTGTGGGGAAAAAAAGCTCTTGCGTTCCCTTTTCTGGATGTAGAAGTTAGCCGAAGGAGAGTAGGGGCAAAAAATGGCAGGATTTGGTGTCTGACTCCTACTTCACACTGGAAGCCTCAGTAGCGTAGCCTGGCAAGCCAGACTAAATAAATGTATTATTTACATTCTTTGCAAAGCAAGAATTTGGTCTAGTTCACTAGGCTATCAGTAGCGAGGAACAACAGCGAAATGGTTTATTTGTGAGTTTTGCTGTGTGCCAGCGCACACCAGGAGAGTCTTCCACGGAGTGGCTTTACCGCCATTCTCATCGCTGGAGTCGCAAGACCACAAAATCTCTCAAGACATCAAAGGTCACGGTTTGTGTATGCCATCCACCAATGAACCAGAAAATAAGAAGGAAATTATGATTGATTTTGCTATTTGATGTCATACATGGATGTAGTTTTGACTTACGCAGTGGGGGGACACAACCGGCATAAGGACCAGTGCAGAGGACAAAAGTTTACTTTGGAAAAAAGAATTTAAAGATTTTGTCAGTCATAGTTCTGGGCATTATTCATGGTACGTTGTGTAATTCATTTTTCTAAAAAGAACAGATTCGGTGCAGAAGCTGATAATTTTGATATTTTGTGTAAACTGGAAAATTGTGGTTTTTGGTGGCATAGAGATAGACTTCCTATGAGAACTAAAGTTCCCCTAGCACTTTTCACCCATCATATTTGGCTGGTGGCTTAATGGGACTGGAGTCCTGATCCCCACAGGCACCCGCAGCATTCAGTGACTAAGAGCTAAAATAATAAAAGCCGCACTTTTCTCACACATCAGCACTTTTTTAATCTTGACTCAAGTACATGTGAGTCAGATTGAGAACCACACACA